CCTGTGGTATGTCTGTACAGTATGTTATTTGGTTTGATGGAGCACTCAAAAGATAACGTTCGCACTGATCTGACCAACGAGGTTTAGTCCTGCTATTTACACGTCAGTGTAAATGAGCCCCAAGCTGGACCAATTGAGGGCGCAATTTTCCTAGTAACAGAGGCTCCTTTGGTCGGAACTGCACCTTGCTGGTTCACGAACGACTTGGAAATGCACGCATTACGTTCGCGGCCCAAGCACCAAAACGAACACTCCGGACCAACATTGGGGTATTTCTGCTTATGCGTATTAGTGCAATGATGCTCAGGAAGTTACGTAATTTTACTCATTGCATGGCATATCCTCTTCAAAAGCAGACGTTGTATTTCAATCTTTGATCATCAGACACTGTCTTTTGTTGCTATTAAAAGAGAAAAAACTCAGCCGTTTACGATTGTGCTGTGGGAGGGGACTTTTGATTGGTCTGCCCTGTGTCATCTAAAAGCTCGTCTCGTCTTGTTTTATCTTGTCTCTCGCCCTGTGTTGTCTCCCTTCGTTTTTGCCGATCTTGCTTGGTCTCATCTTTTCTTGCCCTACCTTGTCCCGTCTTATAATACCGTCGGCCAGGACTAAAAAAATCTCAAATTGTCGTGTCTTGTCTCTCGTCCTGTCTTGTCTCGCCTCGTTTAGTCGCGTCCTTTTTAGTTTCCCCTTGTATTGCCCTGTCTTGTCTTTCGTCTTGTCTTGCCTTGTTGTATCTTGGCTTTCGTACTGTTTTGTCTCGACTCATTTTTGTCTCTTCTTTTCTGGTCTCATCTTGTCCCATTTTGCCTTGCCTTGTCTTTTCTTGTCCCATCTTGTCTTGTCTTAATGTGAATTGTCTCTCGTCGCGTCTTTTTTGCCACATTTTGTCGTGTTTCGTCTTGTCTGGTCTCATCTTGTCTTGTCTTGTCTCGTTTCCTCTTTTGTTTTTCTTTCATCTAAGCGTCGCTTCCACGCAACTTAACCGCCTTTCCATTTAGCTCGTTGTCTCCTTTATCCATTTTCTCCTGTAGCAAGTGCTTCAGTCTCGGACGGGCCATGACCGGCCAAGAAGCACCAAAATCATTGTCAACGCCAGTGGCGTGCAGGGCGGAAACCAGCATATCCAACAGACGTCCGAAACGAATCGTTACCTAAGTAACCCGCAAGGGAACCCCGCCAACAGCCCGGCCTTTCAACCAGATCCGCAGAGGTCGTCGTTTGGACTGCTCCCTCTACCGACCGAGCCTCCAAGTTACGAGCTCCCGCGCCGCCCGTCGGAGCCCCAGCGCCGTCCTTCGGAGCCGAGCCCTGTGTACGCTTACCGCAACCCAGTTACAGACGGCAGCTACCTCCCACCACGCCCACTGCATGACTACTTGGAGATGAATGACATGGGACACGACAACTTAGCCGACTACAGCCACCGGTTTTACGACTCTCCCCAGGTGTAGTCGAGTCTCCTTGGGGTCCTCCATGAAGCACATTTACGGAGACATTAACAAACTTGTTGACTTCACTGGTGGTTGTGTGCGGGTGGAGGTCAGGCTCAGGTTCGGGGTAATAACTACACAGAGAAGTAATTTGTTTTCAACAAACCCTCATTGCTTCTGTAAGGCAATATATTATTAGGTATAAGACTTGCAGTATAGCTTATTTTCGAAATGTCTCGTAAGATAACTGTTTTCAGTATGGCTCTTTTGTAAACCCGGTTACGCTTATGCATTTCAATTTTTTTTTACGAGCTCAAGGTCAAGAAAGGACATATGCCTATGTACCGAGTAGAAATGTACAGTATGGGTAGTGAATGGTAACACACACAATAATAGCTTAATTATACCCTATACTTTTCCTTACCAAGTTTTTGAGACTTTTGTGGGTGCAACGAATTTCCATTTTTCTTTTCAATGTGCAATCTGACTGGTTGACTATTTTTGTCTAATTGTGGGAATTAAACGACTGATTGTCTCAAACATTGGCGCAACATGGAATGAATACGGGCGATTCCCAATAGTGCGCCTCCAAGAGTTTAAAACGCGTTGACCAATCACAGTGTGCGAAATCTGTGGACCCTTTCCAAACACGCATTGGGTCAACGTTTCGCGCACTGGGATTGGTCAACGCTTTGCAAACTCTTGGAGGCGCACTATTGTGAAACGCCCTATTCTCCTCAGGCATGAGCAGCCACATCCCCGCAGAAATTTCCGAGATATGTCAAATTGCACACAACTGCAGAGAAAGCAATGGCACGATACGGCTTAAAAACCATTTATTGTATCAAGGTCCTCGTGAAAGTTGTTTCCATCCATCAGAATCTTAAACGGAATGTAGTCATCATTTTATAGTACCGTGCAGTCCTTTAATTGTCAATATAAAGGATCTGCTTTCACTGACTTCGAGTTAATCGCTTAATACATCGCGACAATACGCATAAAAAAGTACATGTATGTACAAACATACTGGTCCATCACAAGAGGCGGAGAAGCCATTCTTGCAGGGCCATCGGCCTCACGCTTCTGCCTTAATTTGAGCGCAGGCGCGCACTTTGGAAAATTACAGCATCTTATTGGTCGGAGAGGAAATGTACTGTGATGAATATCACCAGCTATTCTAAAACATGCAGGCTGCACTGGAGATTCTTAATAAGAACAGAACTCGAACGTAAAGTTAAGAAGCTGTCCAATACATGGGTGAGAATCAGTTACGTTTGTGCAGTGTCCGTGATTTTTGAAACTTAATAAGACACTGCACCTGAAATCCCCTCCCAAATGGATTCGCCGAGGTATGGGGAATCGAAAAGCGACTGATAGAACTTGTTATGGTTGCTGAAAAGTTATTTGTTACTCCCAAATTTTAGAAATAGAACCAAATTTCACGACGTTCTTACCCAAATAATCAGCGCGTATACTGGACCAAAACAGAGACAGTCATCTGGACAGAAAACAATCTTGTGTGGATATAAAGTTGATTTTATTTGACTTAACATGTAACACGAATTCAGTATTTATGAATGTAAAGGAACGGAGTACTGGGTAACATTTCGTATGAGTTGCATCTTGTGCCAGACACCAGATCTTACATCGTTCTGGCCACAATTCCTCGACAAATTGCCGCATGTCAAGTACAAACATTGACAGTTACATTTTTAACGAAAATAAACAGTCCTAGGAATATGTACATACGTCTGAAAATCAGTCTTGTTAGTAACGACAAAATGCCGAGTTCTTACAGGTGTATCACATGCAAAATAACTGGGAACTGTCGATTCAAACACATATTATACGCAAGAGTCCTACTTAGTCATTCACAATAAAAAACGAACAATATTAAAAAACCCTTTCACCGCTACAACAATCGGTGTACATTTTTTTAATTCAACAAAACACTGTTTAAGTCGTGGTATAAACAAAAGAAGTTTGAAAGAATGTTCGTCGGTTGCCTTTAGACGAGTGGTGTTCTCTCTTCATGGGTTCATAATGTAAAGAGTTGATAAATGTAAACAAAGTATACGTATTTGATAATTTTTTGGGGGTGCATCAACGGACGTTTGGAGGTTATAGCTACAATCCACAAACCTGCGCGTCCTAAACGCGTGGACGCATAGCGGCTGGAGGCTTCCGTGTACCCGTTGGTCAGTGACCTTGTCAGGTTCACGAAAACGCTCCACTGCAAACGAGAGTTCATTGGCTATTGTACAGTAGACGTATGCCAAACTTTCAGCTGTTCCGTTGCTCCAGACCGCAATCATGGGGCATTCATTAAGCTGTTGTAGGCCTACCCTTTAAACCAACCTAACCAAAATGAGGCTGGAAGGGAAAATCTGTTCCCTTTTATTAATTATCAATATGTGCAGGTGTACTCCCACGGTCCCAATAGGTCTACAGGGAACCTATACACCCGTGACTCTGCAAGGGGGCGTGGTGTATTGGTTGCAGTGACGTCACACAAGTTTAAGCTTTTTTATTGACGCCATACGGGAGGGGTGCTTTGCGCGGGACGAGATCCCAATCTTGGCTTCGTACAGTCTTTGGCTCCGGCTTCACGCATTCAAGTTCAGCCTGCTCAGATGAGACCCAGTGGATCAGTGCAGCACCATTTTCATAAGGCTTGAACAGCGAGTGTCGCCTAAGCCAGAGACGAAGCCGAAATTTAGACCACTAGACAATGGAAAACATATTTTCAACTGTTCCCATGAGGAGCTCAAAGTCGTGAGTTGTTTGGGCAACACCAGCACAAATAGTAGGTGGTACAAGTTAATTTATAGCCTGCAACTACTAAAGATTTCATCCTCGTACTGGCTTGCTCTATATCCTTCCTTTTCGATCGTCCACGATCTGCAAAACGGAACAAACAAGTGACAGTGGTAAGTAGCGGTCACAGACATCTCAATGCTTGTGTAATGGGCAGAGCACTAGTTCATCTGACAGGGGGCGCCCTTCATCTTTTGCTGGGTGCCCGAGGTACACGCGCCGCGCGTGTCAAGTCACGTCCACGCCCGCGCGCTGCACACCCCAGAACTGTTTCCCGGAGTGAATTCTGTCGTGCTCACGTTAGGAACAGAGTGATCTGGATGGGACATGACATTCCTGAAGTAACTGCTTCCTTTTGCAAGTGTGTGTGGGGACGATTAGTGGGGTGGGGAGCCAGCTATTGGCAAGTCTAAGGTTTCTAGAGCTACGGCTAGGTCTATTGTCTGCTATTTCCAATGGAGTGAAGACCGAGCACTAGCTCTAGACAACCGTTTTAGAAGCTGCCTCTTTGACAACCATTGTCCACCCCGAGAGAACCCAAGAGAGGGCGCATTTTTCCTATAACACCGGAAACTCCTTCGGTGGAAAATGCTCTTCGATGGTTCACAAACGACTGGGAAATGTACCTCTTGCGGTCGTGTCGCTACCAACAAAATGCCCAACGCCCACCAACATGGCTCTAGTCAACCGAAAAAGGCATGCTTCTGCACGGAGGGGGGAGGCGGCATCCGCAAGTCAACGCCTGGACGCCTTCAAAAGGTGCCAGGTTTATCCACTCACCTCCGAGTATTCCGAGCAGCAGCAGCCGATGCCGAATGCCGCCAGCCCCGCCAGAGTCGCCAGCAGGGCCAAGAAGTCGATGCCGGCGTCTGCGATGATGACCCCAAGCCACAGGTCATAGGTCAGATCGTAGGTCAGGTTCTGCTCGGCAAAGGCCTCCATGTCGTACTCCTGGAAATACTCCTTCTCATACAGGTTGTAAGTGTGAAGGGCCACGTTGGCCAGAGCCGAAAATATGGCCAGGACACACATGAAGGCGGTGCCGCGAGAGCTCTGAGAAAGGGGAAAAAACCAACAACTCTATTTCCTTTCTACGATAGCCCTGTAGTTCCATCAAGTAAATACAGGTATTTTTTTAAAGTGAAGGGTTATTTATTGAAGTCCGTTTCGATGGCAAAACAGGACCTTCGTGCCTTTCTTATACAGGAAGCTCTTCATCTGACGAATAAGGAGATAATCATTCCATACAGGTGAATTATTTTGATTGATATCTCTTGACCGAGTCAGACGTGGGCGTGGCCAGATATAATCTGTAGTCATTTTACTTTGCTCAAAGATCAACCCTTCTTTATTTCACCCTAGAAACGACGCCAGTGGGTGAAATGACCCTTATGGAAAGGGCTGGTGAACAGAAACTTACAATCAAAGCAAAACACATGCCGTGAAGTCGCCAAATCATAACCTGCGAAACCTGTATTGGTGAAACTATCCCCAGTCCTTCCCCGAAACCTAACAACGCCTCGTCAAACTCGTCAAACTCATGCTTGGGCTCATTCTTTTCCGGATGACCACTGTCAAGTGAGTGTGTACTGAGTGAGTGTGCATTGCGACTCATACTCACCCAATCGTCGTCGCTCATTTTCTTTGTGATAAATATCGACGCCACTCCGGCCATAAACATCTACAACAAAATGCAAATTCAGTACAAAATCAAACTCCCGATGCTCGACATACCTGTAGGGTTGACTAATGTGAATTTGTACACTGCAAATCAGAAAACCATTCCAACACTTTTACCGGTGTTACAATTTTGGTGTTACTTTTAACACCCTCCGGTGCATTACAACACTTGTAAGTGCATAAAGTAACACCAGCAGTGCTAAAGTAACTCATTCTGGTGTGGTAATCTGACCATACCCAAGAGTGTTGTTTTTAACACCAGAGTTTTTGCAGTAAATGTACTTTTAACATCTACGCGTATAGACCGCCGAAATAGCACTAGCGGTTCCCCCGCCCCTCGGACCTGCACCCGCAGGGAACCCTACCTCGAGAGTCAACTGTTTTCCCAAGCAGAACATCTATCCCGAGACGGAACTTTGGCAATTAGAATGACGTACAGGAACGGGCAATATCTATACTGATCTAGACCGATATATTCAACTTGGGTGGGTGAAGAAAGTGCGAATAACGACCGCATTCCTATTTCGACAGCCTGGTCTTACTCACCGCTGCCCCGCCCCAAATGAGGGCGTGCCCCGCCGTGAAGATCTGGAGGAAATCGAAGAAGTTGAAAAGGACCCCGGCCGCCGCGTACAAGACGCCGATGACCACGAGCAGCGAGCCGCTGCACCGGAGACAGCGGTAGCGGCACCTGGTGGATCCGCAGGAGCAACACATGGCGGCTGGAGAGGAGACTTCGCAAAATCTGTGACACGAGAAGTTGGCATAAAGAGAACTTCATTTGGACACTTGTCGCAAGACATTTGGAGTCTGGTATTAACACCTGGGCCCGACTTACATGATACCCCTTTACCATGGGCGGAAATCCCGAGGGGATAGGGGGGACACGCCCCCCCCATGAATTTGGTATTGGGAGAAACAATGTCGAATGTCCCCTCCATGTTTTAAGCAAAGCAAAATACTAAAGCACTTAATGGATCGAGGATTTTCCCTTTTGAGTTTTTATAAATAGAATTAGATAATAAACACGGTGTGCACATAAGAAGTGTAAATTGATGCCCCCCCCCACGATCGAGAAGAGATTTCCGCCCATGCCCCTTACGCAGTAGACGCAGCCCCAGCAAAAATCGGCCAAGAACCAGTCACGGGCAATGCACACCTCACGGTATTTTCGCTTCCTATATACCGCTAAGCAAATACATTTATCTTCTTTGCTTCCAGATAACGAGAAAGTGTTGGTATTCCAACGGCACATGCCCAAATGAAACCCGTCCAAGGTCATTCGAGAACTGCAGTGGTATACACTCGCTCACAAGCTGCCCTGCCAGCGCGGCCATGTACATGTACATGTACGTCGACTCACACGCGTGCTCGAAATCAGTCCTCGAATGACCTTACCTTTTTGCAATACCAACCGGACCCACTGGAGTGCTTAGCAACTCTACAGAGGTCGGGCCCAGATGTAAAGCTTTTCATCCGTACTGACTAATATTATTGTCCCCTATTGACCCTTAATATTACAGCAAATGGGTCGGGTTTTCATCGATTCCAGTTTTACTCCACACTACATCAATATCGATCATATCATAGGCCAGATATTCTTTTCTCCTTGTCGCTGGCTCTCAAAACACCCATGTTTAGGCCACATAAAAAAATAATTGGTTTAGCATCAGCGCCCACCTCAAAAAATCATACCGCGTGTTTTTTTCTTTAAAATTTGTCTTTTCCGATGTCCTTAGCCGTCCCCCGTAGTTTGTACAACGCCCACATAATTTCGTGTACGCACGACATGCGACCCGAGTACATACATGCACACATTGTCATATGCACTTTAGAGCACGAATCTGAAGTGAACATGGCGCTTTCGTTCTGTGGTTGCATGCCAAAGTATCAAATGAAAAAAAAAACACCAAAAACAAAAGAAAACAAAACAAAAACACTAAAAACCCTCCCCACCTCTTTTTTTTGCAAATACAACCGATGCTAAAGTATTGTTTTTTAAAGTGGCCTTATGAGCTCATGTTAACCCAACAACAGCAGTCAGTCCTCCAACTGACACAGCAGCGTCACATGGAGGGATAAAGTCAACGTCCAGATCCCCAAAACCATTAGAATGTTTCACGGCATTGCAGAGTCTGTCACAGAGTCTGCCGACCACGAGTTTGAAAAGCTACTCCGAATGACCAAAATTAATAAATGAATGAATAAAGTAAAAAAAAAAATTACATCACGACTTCGATTCTATTTTGTTACCATATTATAAGAACCAAAGAAAAAAATACCGACTGCTGTTGAGATTTTAAAAAAATGCTAAAATCCAACGGCTGCAAAACATGGGACAGGACTGTTTTACTACTCATAATAGAAATACGATATCTACAAGTAGAGCAACCTCCAACTAGGAATATTTTATGCCCAATTTTCTCTATCTATCCTGTAGCCGGATGAATACCTGAATCCCTCTGTTTCAAGCGGTAGAAAAAAAATGTATCCCCGAAACATGCCCGACGAAATATGCATAAAACGATACATTAACGAAATCACACCTGCATGCATATCGATATTTTCCGCTGTTTACTATTAAACCGACCTAATAATAAACCCCACCGTGCACGGTCTATTAGTCCCGTTGAAAAGAGCGAGGTCGTGACGTCACTTCGGGATAATAATAATATCATTGTGGTCGCCATCGACCTTTTCATGTTAACATGAACGCCCACGGGAAAAAAGGCCGTTATTGTACCTACATACACAACCATGTTAGGACTAGGGGTCACTAGTTTACGGGTATGATATTGGAAATATGGTCGCAACATCAGATCGCAAAATGCTAACAGAAAGGATGGTACACCAGATCGAGATAAAAAAAATACATTAACCGTAAAATGCAAACATTTGCAATAAAATGCAAATCCGCTACGGCAAGCCAACTTCAACTCTTGAATTCACATTGCACTGGCGTGCTGAGGGTGACAGTGAGTAAAGTAATGATCCGCATTGTATGTACCAGGAGAACTGAACACACTATCAATTACGATTTTACGAGGGAACTGGCAGGTATTATAATGTGGGCATACAATGTTCACCGTTTACGGATCCACCATTACAGCAAAAGCGTATCCGTCATTATTGTCTAAAATAAAATTGACCTCTTGAGTCCATTCAATTTAAGTCTCTATTATTTTAGTATTAGTTAGTTTGTTTGTTTGTCGGGGTGTTTTTCTTTTTTATCCCGCTTTGAATGCTGCAAACCTCACGAGCGTGCGACGTATGGACGACCCTGTAGATCCCTCATGCATCAACCTTTGGCAGGCATCACCTTCATCATTCTGAGCAAGGCTACAGTTGGTAGCGGGTTGGAGGGGTTAGCGCTCAAATATTCAAGTCGACAAATTATACCCTCACATTCGGAAGTGCGTGTTACCCATGCCGTCTTGCATCCTTTGCTCACGTTATGCCATTTGATCTGTCTTTCATGAGGGGTACCATTAATCCGCCTTGAGCAGAATCGCCCCATCCTCGGCCGAAAAGAGCCAAATTGGTAGGAAATGGTTAATTTGCTGCAAGCGACGCGACTGTAACTACGCGTCCATTTTATTTATTTATTCTTTTAATTTATTTTGCTAAAATTTTATTCATTCCAGGAATAACTTCTGACATTTCACCAATAGGTAAGCTTACATGTGTTCAGGCAAATAAACAAATGAACGTCAATATGTAAAACTATACCAGTCATAAAAAAAAACACAAAGTGGAATTAGTCGAGAGAAGCACCAGGAAGGAATTCCATTTACGATAGAATGACCCTACGCTGTTGTTGCACATAGAAATATATTTTTCGGCAAAAAAATATCCTTTAAAACACTGGGAAGAGGGAGCGGCCTCTTTTGGCGAGTCCATTGGAGCTAATTAACGTTCAATGTTTTTCATTGCCCAATATTCGTTTAAGAACTTTATTCCAGGTGCAACCTAAATTTGAAGGCATAAGTACCCTTAGCTAAATGTTAACGGTACCACGTAATGCTTTGTTTTGCTTATTTCCATTGTGGTATTGTTTGTTTTTCATGTTTTCCCTGATAAATAATAAACGGAATAAAATGAATTGAAATGAATGAAATGAATTGAAATGATATGAATTGAAATAAATTTAATTGAAATGCAATAAATGTTCCACAATACAACGCTAGGGAGCGTTGTACACTCCGGCCACAAACGCCACATACAAATTACGCTATTTCCGCGATGCAACATCTTGTTCTGTTGGAATCTGGACTTGGAACTGTTTACTCTAGCCAACACTGCTTTTCCCCGAGAAACAAAATCCGTATTATTTTGAGATTTTAAAACACCACGGTTAGATATGAGGGATTCCAAGAGTTTTCTGACAAAAATAACTGGGAATACGGTTTCAAAAATAAAGCAAATTACGCTGAGAACTGAACTGCCCTGACACAGAAATTTCCTGTTACTTTTTGGTCTCAGTGGTCGACTTTATTCATTTCAAATGTGTAATTTCTGTCTGACAGACAGCTGAACAGTTTCGTATTACAGGATCGATTTTCACACCATTTTCCTTGCCAATTACTCTGAAAAAAATAACCATCAATCAGTGGAAAACTGCTTACCTCAAATACAATCACTGCACGCGTGGCATGAAGGAACGAAACACTAAAACTCTAAAAAAAACACTCGCGGGTCATTTACATACCCCTGTAAAGTATGCAGCTTCCTTCAAATTTAATTGGTCGATGGAGCGTGCTTTCGCTTCTTGGAATTACTACGGATTGGTTGCGTACGGTTGTGGTCTGATGTAGGGCGCAGTCGTGGCCAAAGTGGGCCACGTCAGAGAGGTTGTGGGTAAAATGGATGGAGGACAATAAAGGGGGCGGGGCAAAATACATTGAAAGCCTTGCAGATTCAAACTGAAAAATCGCAGCCGTAAAGCTGTCATATTGCCACATCTGTGACACTAGCCTTCTTTACAAGTCGGCCATGTGGAAACCAAAAAAGATGATGCAATTCGGGCAAATGACAGATGACTGTCCTTGTGTTCTGATTAGGACATTCTATAAATTATTAATGAAAAGACACGTCACCTAAACACGGTCGATTCACAATAGTGCGCCTCCCAGAGCTTGCAACGCGTTGAACCTTTCCAAACGCGCACTGGGTCGACAGATTGTGATTGGTCAACGCGTTGCAAACTCTTGGAGGCGCACTATTCACCCGTATTGTCAAAACGAAAAATATCTCTTCAGAGTGAGGCTGTACCTGTAGCATACAGCAAGTAGTCAGGCTTCTTCCCATTTCAGAGTGTTGAATATTTAAAGTGGATTCGGGGGTACGATCTTCACTGAGTTCAAAAAGCCATCCTCGTGCACGTGGATAAGGCCCTCGGGGGAGAATGCTGTGAAATATCAAGCCAAACTCTATCGTCATGCACGCACGTACATGTCACCGTGATCAACACCCCAAAAAGGGTCGCAAGGGCACAGGTCGCCGGTACATGATTCTGGGGCAACATTGAAGGAAGTACCACGACAGGGGAACACTCGTGCACTACACGTTCTATTCAATCGGAGTGCGTGTGTGTAAAAGATAAGAAACGCAGCTCTCAAATCTTATTGCAGTCCGCACGACAGGATGGGGGCTCACGACTCGCACTTGAAAACTGTGACATATATACCGCGCGCGGGTTCGTGCGTCCACCTGCGACTTTATTCGCCGTCGAAGTGAACCCTTCAACGAATGCCAACTACGCACCGCAGTTTTTCCATTCCCAGTACAATTCGCGCAAATTTGTCATGTCTTGAAAATCTCTCGCACCTAAGCCTTTCCATCCATACAACCAGAATGAGTTTGGATATTTCATGTACATGTAGGCCCTACATGCTTTCTCCCGGGAAAGGCTATTTCTTATATAAGCACATTAGCATTTAATGTTAGAACGCACCGCACATTAATGGCGTCTTTATAATCTGTTTTTGCACATTACTGTCGAGGGATTCCCCCCCGAAACCTGCCCGGCCTTTGTGTTTTAGTCCTCCATGCTATGTCCGCATGGATTCACAAGGAAGTGCGACTCAAAAACAAAGCACTGATAAACATCAGCTGATGCAAGATAACACCGGATGCGAGCGGTCACGCGACTGTGAAATAAAACAATGCGGAAAAGTTCTGGTTTTGCAATAGCAGAGTCTACGAACATGTAAAAAACCCTTGAATCCCGTTTCAAAATCGAAGGATTTTCTTGTAGCTTTCGAATATGATACATGAAATATATATCTAACCATACTCAAAAAACTAACAATGGTGCGCAGTCTTCTAATCAGTTTCCAGACGCTAAACATAATACGAGTCCAATTCCTCAACATCAGTGTCCAACTGCTTTGCACAACATCCTTGGATACTGCAAACATGTTTGATATTATGTTCGCAATCCAACAGTAAAAGGTACATGTACGGTTCCACTCAGAAAAGTGCTTGAGGGGACCGTGTCCGAATTAATGGCTACGGCCTGCTATCACGAACAACCCTACGGGTAGTGGCTGCGGCCACTGCCATAGACTCTTGCGTAAACAAGCCACGGCCAAACAGTTTGGACACGGCCTATTTGTCAAACACAGTTTGGAGCTTCAATGAATTGGTCCTAAAACCAACGTTTGTGTAACCACATTGTGTACATGTCGTTATGCAATAGTGAATAACCCAAGTGTGATTCACTGCCGGGAATTCGTTACAACTACCCTTATAAGTTCAGGGGCAGAGAAATTTACGTGTACTTGGGTTATTTTTAACCGTTACTGACAGTCGACTTGCACGGTGTGCCCTCACTGGGGACGGGTCTTTGTTCCTGTGTGATCTGCCTGAGTAGACTTTCTGTACTTTCCCCATTATCAGTGAATATCAATTTCGAAATTGCCCTCCATAGGGGTGGAAATCTTCGGGTTTATATCCTGCAACGTACTCGGGGGACACTCGATTAATATGCGCATTGAAGACTGAAAAACCGAGAACCAAAATGAGTCTTGATAAAAATAATAATAATTCGAGCACGTCAGTCTGCGAGTATTCTACGCACTACACCTCCATCATCTTGTAAAGTGTAGGAAAGAGATTTAACCGTGAAGGAATAAGAACACGCGTCAACCTTTAATTCCAGATTATTCCAAATGTACTGCAGGCCTATACATACATGTATTAAGAAATATTACGGGATATTCCATGCTGAAATGTGTTAGCTGGGGGGGTACCATAAATGAGCCAGTTCGGTGGACCCTTCTCACTTTCACAAGGGGGGGGAATGGGCACTCCCTCCGATTCCAACTATCCAATCAGGTGAAAAAAAAATTGGCATATGGTTTCCTCCACAGTGGAGGCAAGGGCACGCATCCATGACCTATAATAATACAACAGCGGTTTAACAAAACAGTTTCTAAAAACTTGTTGTCGGGCAAATAATGATCGAATTTTAAGTTTTGAAATGCAACGGCTTGGCTTCGCCATCTGGTTCAACAACGCCGAAGAGAGACTTGCTCGTGATTTCAAAAAAGATCTCAAATGTTATCCATGGTAATTACAGGTACCTCACCTTGGGGTAACTTTGGAGAAGATTGAGAACAAATGATCGATTAAAAAAAGCGAAGGTAGCCTGATTTATGTTCCAACAAAGGTCACCAAAATTAAGTCGAGGGCGTCCACCCATTTGCATTCGGCCGCGAACGCTGGTAATAAACGGAGCCTAAATGTTTACAGATTCTATCCCTGAAGTTATTATGAAGTTGTCTTCGAAATGCAGAAGATGGTATTAAAATTTAAAAAGTTCGACGCTTTCTGGGGCATGTGCTCAGACCCTTCCCCATTGAGGGTGGTACGTGTATACATTCGACACGCCCACAGCCTGATTTCAAAGACCCGTGACATGGAATCTATACTTCCGTTTAAGCTCCGTGTAGATTTCCAAAGAATTTACAGCGCAAAAAGTGTCGACCGTTATTCGTATTTCGCAGTTTGCCTCAAAGCTTGAACCACACTCTTTACGGTTCGTGCGTGTACAGCTAACAGGCCGGACGCCTGGCAGGCTAGGGAACAAGACGCTGTTCGGGGAAAGCTTCGACGCTCATAGCCTGGTATAAAGAATCTTGAGTGTCACTTGTCTGTTTCTGACTTACCGTTAATTCTTACACCGGAATCAGCAAGTTGATCAACCCACCCACACACTTGTCGGACAGTGCGCTGTCGCAGTTCAAGTTCACTCACAGATAGCTATACATATAATGGCTCCACACCGCTGATTAAATTTGAGCACGGTTCAGCCTCTAGCAGCTACTCTCGATCTTCTTTAAATAGGCTAACTTTGCCCGACACTTAGCTGAGCAAATTCCGTCAGGGCTAAAAGATGGGAGCGGCGGATTTGACTGTATGGCCAATAATGGGACTAGATCTCACTGACATACCATCCTAGCATAGTCACTGGATTGTGTGTGTGTTTGACTGAACGCTTGGATGCACCCAGGGAGAGAGGGTCGCCTTCAGCGCAATGACTGGCCGTGGAATGCCCCAATTCGCCTCACCATTCTCGCTTTGTGGTTTCATTCAGTCTGCACAGTCACCACACAGTACTATTCAACCAGCGCTCTCCGCCGAGTGAGCATTGTCATGTAAAAACTCCCCTCACAATGAAGTGCTCCAGCGGGGATCCAGCAACCAGCGGATGGGCGCAGAGGGTGCTCGTGACGTGTCATGGTTTAGACTCCACTACGAGTCGCTGATGTGATGCACTACACGTATAATATGCCCACACAGGTCAAACTAGTCAGGATGCGGAAAAAAAAGCAGGACTCGACGCCGCATATCCCGCCCGTTTCTATAAGAAGTGAAACAAGAGCATAGTATTTCCGGCGATTGGTTTACATGTACTCATTGAAACACTGGCATGTGCATGATATGCGTTTAGCTTTTGTTTCCTTTTTAGGGGCAGGACGGAAGAAGGTTTCGTTGTTGGCAAAAAAAGGGTCATTGCCCCCCCCCCCCGTGGCTGTACGTGTAATCACTCTCTTTCTTAAAACAGCAAGAGTAAAGTAAACTGTGAACTTCAGGCAATAGGCCTACATTCCGAGGACCGTAGAGGACGATGTGAAAGAGTGTTACAGCGGGTGCAGCGTACCATTTCAAGTCTGTGCCTGTTTGTGGACGGGGGAAGGGGGGTTAACCCTAAATGAGCCGGGTCAGTGGACCTTTTCCCCTTTCACAATGGGGCGGACACTCCCTCCGATCCTAACTATCCAATCGAGGGAAAAATTTGGCAGGCTCGTGAAAAAATTCACTGACCGTAACTAATAGCTGTATACTTCGGCTCTACATCGATCAATTATACTGTCAAATTTCTGAGGGGGCGCCCTAACACAAGTCGGAGTCGAGATTCTTCAGCGCGTGGATTCCGTGCAGTGTGACACTGCACAAATTGATCAGGCCAGGGACGAACAAGATGTCACTAAGTGTCTTGTTTTTGTGTTTCGATGTTTACGATCGACGACTGAATTGTTTGGAAGGCACCCACTCCAGCCTTTTGCCCATTTTGGACTGAGCCATGGTTTCTTTAGTCCTGAAAAAGGTTTGTTTTTTTCTGGTCTTCATATATCCCAATCCTTCAGACTAACTCCCCCAAATCAACAGAGATCTTAGTTGTCTCGCGCTGACAGCTTGGATTGCCTCGCGTGCCCTTGTAACAGCGGTATAATTACAATCCACTTCATCCACATGTTGATATTAAGATTTCAGCCTCGTGTGTTGCTATTTCAGAATGTTATCAGATGGCTACATATGCAGGTAGAAAAGAGGGCGCTCTTCATATTTAATGAAACCAAACTATCGCATTTGCGTTTTCGAGACCGATCTTGGTCTAAGTTTATCATTCGAAATATTTTGTTGTGAAGAAAAGCTAACAATGTCCGGCAGCGTAACAACATGGAAAAAACAACACTCTGTGTTTCAAACCCTTGTTCCTTATTCGAAATACATGTAATCTTTGAAGAAATTTACATTTTACGTAGCACTTGAAAACTATTTATTGCCTAAAAGACCGGGTCGAATTGTGGCCGAGATTCTTATTTGAAAGTTCAATACGTCCCTCTTGTCAGCCAGGCCTAAAGAAGTTCAAACGAACTCATAAATTATGCACTTGGCTAAATGTCATGCGGTAAACGTAATCATTACAGCTATTAAATGCGCAAAAATTACTGTGACTGGGTAATATGCAGATAAGAAGTAATGCATCCAATATCAGCGATGGGCAGAAAAAAAAATACCTGTTACAACACTGTAAAAACTCGGGTGTTAAAATCAACACTTTTGGGTGTTATCAGATGACCGCACCACAGGTTGTTACTTTAACACTGATAATGTTACTTTGCACACCTATAAGTGTTACAGTGCACTAGAAAGTGTTACAAGTAACACCAAATAACACCAAAATTTTAACACCAGTGAAAAGTGTTGGTGTAGTCTTCTGATAACACACCGCGGGTGTTAAATTCAACACCCCAGTTTTTGCAGTGAATGCGTGCATGTATACGTGTACATTTCAACGAAGTGAAACTAGTCAAATGTGCTTCCATAAGCTCTTGGAGGGTGGGAAACGCATGGATTAGCAGACTGTACGGTGCCTCACCTTCACACTGGGCATGCGCATGTTTCTTTGGCATGGTTATAAAGAAAATGAAATTCCTCCCCTTGGAAGCATGTACGTACTATAATATTCGGTCAAGCGAGATCTATAGTACGTACCAGTTCTTTCCCATCAACTCTTTCTATGGCTGCATCCGAATCTCTTGTCTAGAGCTAGGTCTGGGTCTTTGCGCCATTGGAAATGCGTGGACACGCGTAGACAATAGACCTAGCCGTAGCTCTGGAAGCCCGTTTCGGACACGGCCTGAGACAATGATTTGCGGTCCGCCATCATTAATGCCAGTTAGTGTCGCAATGGCACAGTTTTGGCAAAGCACAGGAAAATGCAAAAAGCCATAGCCGTAGTGCCCGTTTCGGACAAGACCTGCCATCAAAGATGGCGAACCGAAAGGGTTGCTGGGTAGGAAACAACGTTCCATACCATTACTCTCTGAGAATCATCGTACTCGTATAAAGGTGTACGGTTTTACTGTTAATATCAAAAAGGGGGAAGAAAAATGCGTCTCAACTTTCAAACTCTACGGTTTATATGTACACGTATATCGCATCCACTACCTTTGTCATGTCGGTGTGAATTACATATACATATCATCTAAAAATATCAAACAAAATAAATGTTTGGTTTCCTGTCTACACTAAGTACTTACAAATCTCTACATTTAGGAGACTGAGAAATTGGCGACCAAAACTATCCACCTAAACTTTGGGGCTGTCTACGGTAGCAACAAATGTAACATTACACAATAATTATATTCAAGTTAAAACTTGACAAAATACCACGACAGTGCAACAAACCAACGATCCCGATTGTCTCATTGAACAAAAATGTACAACATGCTGAGGACGTAGTCTATCCTTCGCTTTTTTTGGCTCTCTGACCCCTACAAAGCGCACCATACAGGTAAAAAAAACAGCTTGTCCAGACTGTATAATTGTAAATTGTCTAAAAGACAGGTCGAAAATTGAAATGTAGAAAAATGCCTTTATTTCAAAGCCACGGCTTGTAAGGCACCGGATTAGTATTTGGTAAAAGGTCCACACTTAAGGAGTAAAGGAGGCAGTTCATATACTACGCTTGAACTTTTGATGTCCAGGCAAATTTAACCTCCACGGGTCATCACGCACGCGTGGTTTTTACTGGGCCCTGGGCTCCGCTGGCACAGTCAGGGTGACGTAGGCATTTTCTGTTTGAACCGTGTCCAGAGTCATGACGTATCCCTGCGTCCAAAAGAAAAGAACACAAGTTGAATGCGAAGAACTCTGGCAGACGTTCACACTCACGACGACTTCAATAACGACTAAATCAAAATGGCGGCCACAAACCCAGGCCGAATTTTGTGGCTAGGGCAGGCTATAACTCGGAAGTCAGTGGGAAATGCCTGCAGCCACTAGATGTAGCGGGCTTCCGTTACATGTACTCGCTGTTGCTTCCAAGCCGTAGCCAAGTCAATACGACACGGACTTACCTTGGAGGGTCTGTTGTCACAGCAGCAGTTCAGCCAGGTGGCGTAGCACGAACAGATCAGCAGGATCAGTCCGAAGACCAGTATGGCACCATTGATGGCCAATCCCGTGGCGATGAAGGTACCACGTGACCCCGGCTCGTAGCCTTCCCTGGCTTCAGCGTCGGCCAGGGCGTACTCATTCACCATGGTGTGGCCAGCAGTGATGATGATACAGGCTAGGCTGGTCACCATGGCGACAATGCTCAGAAAGAAGAACAATTTGCCCTTTGTTTAGAAAACAAGGAAGCGACATTTATTATTAACCTTATCGATAATATTATCCCTTTTTTGACGCTAACTGGCATTTGGAGAAATTTATGATTGAATTACCTCTTGTACCAACCCTGAGCAACCTTCCAACCAACGCTGGCCCTGACCAACCTTAACCACAACTTTAGCTGCAATCTCTTAGCCCGACAATAATAGGCTACATCTTCAGTTTTGGTAAATGGATTCTTGTCGGAATCCTTCAAATTGAAAGGGGCTGCTAACAAGGTGATGGTCTTAGTCCTTATCTATTTCTTTTGTGCGTCAAGGTTTTGCCCATGATGGTGTCTACTAATGATGAACTCAAAGGTATTGAGATAATTAGATGGTAGAGAATTTAAACTCTCTCAATATGCAGACGAAAAGTAACAGGGGCTTTGCATGGTAGCCAACTTGCAGGGCGGTTCTTTCGTTCCACAGTGAATCCTCCTTTGTGCAGACCCTGTGGAACAAAAGCACTGGCCGGCAAGATGGCAGCCATGAAAACCCTCTATACGCAGTTGACACGCTAACGAATGGAAGGATGGAGAGTGATACTTGAGCTTACCCACTTAATCTCCTTGTAGGAGCAGATCATGAATATTCCAAACAGTCCCGCGAACACTGACTGCAAGGTGAAGAAAAGGCAGACAACCATGGCACCATCTCACCTTATTTTAAGAGCGACTCTTCTTGAAGTTTCCAACCACACATAAAGGCCTACAGTTATTAATAGTTACATACCCTGTACACCTTTACACAGAATGACACACTCCGGACTCTTTCTGAAAACCGGGACTTTTTGAGGATATTAAAATTGGATTGGATCCCATTATTTTGGGTAAGGGCGTAACCACCCCTCTTCAAAAAGAGCAACTGCTCTTTCTCTATTAAAGACGATTTCACTGCTGCTCCCGAGGGAGCGGAAATGTTATATTTAGGGACTTTAACGTGATGAGACCTGCTAAAGTCCTTAAATCTAACCGCACACTTGCAGAAGCCATAAAAAGATTGCACTAGGAATTCCCCCTTAAAATACCTTCCCCAATAGTATCAAAATCTGCCCTTGCACTAATTGCCTACATGTAGCAACGGAGGCTTCTTTGGTGGGAACTGCACTTCGCTGGTCACGAAAGACTATAAAATGCACGCGTTACGGTCGCGTCACTTCCAAGAAAAAAACGTACACTCCCTACCAACATGGCTCTTTTCACGATGAGGGGGTACTTCTGCTCGAGGCAATTAGAGCAAAAGAGACCAAACAACAGAGACAAAACATGTGAGAGTTGTTCGAGTTTATTACACGCGGAGGAGATATACTTACCAGGCCACCGCTCCAGGCGGGCGAAGCAAAGTCCATGGGAAAAGCTGCAAAGCAGCCAAACAGACAACTGACGAACATACCGATCTGAATCAGACCGAAGACGATCAGGGCAATGCTGACGTTGAGGGCGTTGGAATACACGTACGCCATCTTGAATCTGTAAAATGTTTCCTGCAATGACAGAAAAAAAAGCCACGAACAGACAGGCCGTAAGATTTTGGTGAAGTGAGGATGATGGCTTACAAGGTGTAACAAAATAGGCTTTTTGTTTAATCTTGCTTTCGTCAAAATAAATAAGTCTTTAAGCATGTTTTCTTTTTAGGAGATAAATTGAATGAACAGATAAAAAAATTTCAACTGTCTTCGTAGGTTTACCTTGACGAGTGTTTGGTTCGTTGGTTAAAAAATTCCTTCATTACATATTTCGAGTAGAGTTTTACCCTCTAAAAGACTTTCGCTGATTTCATGTGATGTGCCTGTCACATTCCCAGACGACATGAGCGATTAATACAACACGGGCCATATAATAAACATCAAGCGCCCGTTTCGTGCCATCACTGTATACCGTACCTCGGGGCACCACGGAAACCTACCGGCTACTTGATACATATAAAAGTGTTCTGAAGGGCTTCGAGCCACGCAATGATCGCTACACGTACATGTACATCCTAATAAATAACATTTTGACGTGAACAAACACGACGGGACAGACTCTGTTCCAACGGCGCGGCCGCTGCGTAACGTGACACTCGCTGTTCACCATGACATCTTGTGGAGCGAGTTCGTGGCCAATGGCAGCAAAGATTAGGTATCTCTGACAGCTAATGTTACGGCCTTGACATGTCAGTTTTCATAAGTTCTTGACATACATGTCACGGCAGAGGTCCCAATCGCCAGCAGAAAGTTCCACGAGAACTGAAAGATGGACTCCAAAACCCTCTAAGTTTCTTTTTTCTGGCTGCCGATTGCTTGTTTATTTTCACACTCATAAGAAAACCCAGCACCGGTCAACATTTGCCCATCTTCAGTGACAACAGAGAGCGCAAAATTAATTGCCTGGGGGAAACGGGGATCATTTCAAAGGAATGTCAGCAAAGAAGTTGGCTCCATGCGATGTACGGCGCTACAACAAAAACCTGAAAACAGAGGTTTAGTAGTTAAACATTTCCTGATATGGCCGATTTTTTCCTACCATGAAAACAATGTCGCGCAGGCTTCTTCGAAAGCAAACCGGTTTTGCTCTATGCAAAATGAACATAAGCATAAAGGATCCCATGGGCATTATTTCTCTTTCATCATTTATCAAGTACGTTTATGCAATCTATGAAAACATATGCAGCATGAGATATGTGACCCATTTATGAAAACGAGACTCGACGTTTAAACGTGGATCCACCCACTCTGGTTGTTTATTTAAAAATATGACATCGTGCAAGAAAGGAAAGTTAATAAAAGGACACCGGATTGAAAATAAAATCAACCATCAATGTTAGAGTGCAACTGCAAAATATACCCTTTGAAATTAACTCCCATGATCTCATCCATATCCTTTAAACCCCTCATTTTATACCCCTTGTTGTCTGGAAGCCACAAACGAATGGAGATCGAAATATATCAGCCGGCTTTCTAGCCATTTACATGTATATTGAATTTGCCAATTACCTGACAACAAATATAGTCCACACTGAAACACCCTACAAGGAAAATCAAGCCAGTCTGAGCTGAACAAATTGCCACTGTGTGTTATTCAGTTTCTAAACACCCCCAAGCGAGCAATAGCCCTTTTGTAAGGACGGACAATGCCGTGACGTAACAATACGAACCCACCACAGGAGAACTGTAATTGCCTGTACTGGCATGCTTTGCTTCCACTCGAATAATATCCAGTGGTTTCTGTCCAGCATGCTGTGACAAATACTACTATTTTAGGAGTATATTACGCAGGTCCAACAGCTATACTCATTTGAAGCAAGATATGGGACGGAGAGAACCCCCCCCCCGCCGCCTTTGTGTTGGTCATTGTCTGATCGGTATCTCAGGAATTCTTTACAGACTTCTTGGGGGATGTGTTTAAGGTAAAAATAGTCTACAGTGTGTTTTGGGATTGGACAGGTAAGGGGGGGGGTACCCCTTCGTCCCATATCTTGCCCGGTATAGCTACACTACTGCAGACTGCGAGGTCTGGTAGTGAGCTTCGGTTTGGAGGTTGAGGAAATATAACAGTGTAATCAGATGTCGCAGTATAGCGTTTAGCTCACTTGGCAGAAAGCTTTCAGTGAAGAGTTCAAGGAGTGAATTATGATCTTTGAATGCAGTACCAGGGGAAAGGAACCTCAGCTACCGTGCATGTAGTCTTTACGATTACACACTGGCAGGAAACAATACATTGCAGATTAGGTTACCAACAAGTTCCGCAAACGGAAGATATTGTTTAAGTTCTTCAAACCATTTCATTTCTTGAGCGATTTCGTCAATTGTTTCAGCTGTTAAAAATGCCCCTGTGAAAATACAAAGTGAAATATATTTATTCGTTCAATGCCGCCTGTTTTCGGTATTCATACGAAAATGTTAGACTACAAATTGCTAGAGGGCAATGATTATTGTCGGCTGTGATGTTATCGGTCTTCACAGTGTCGTACTTGAATGTAGTTCTGAGTTTCGTCTTTTACGCACGCATTTGGAGTTATATTTAGCACTGATGATCATCAGAAACATTCCTTTTTAAAAAGACCATACGATGCTCATTTGTTTGGTGGACACGGGGAGGTAATTAACCTTGAGGAAATATGCGGGTTATCTACAGCTGCGATTCACGATCAACGCGCAAGGTTTTTTTCCCACAAGCATAGGGCGAACTCAGTTTCCTGCTGCCCGTGGCTTCCTTGGACCTGACAGCGTGCGGATCAGTGCGGAAAATTCCCGTCTGGATCTGTTCATCTGTTCATGCGGATTCTCTCTCTGCAACAGACTAGATGCGGGGTCACGGCTCAAGGTTAGTTAATTCAGTCGTGAATAATGAGCGCTGGCAAAAATATGACGGTATGTAAACAAGGTGTACGGCACGAGTGTGGGAATGCACCCGTTGTGAATGGCAGACCGATGTGGTATGAGACTGCATGCAATTAAAACTCCCTTCAAAACCAAGAGCTGTATTCCTATGGAGGCTTTGCGTGGCAGCCATCTTGCGGGACAGTTCCTTTGTTCCACTGGGCATGCCCAGTGGAGGTTTCCCGTGGAACACAGGAACCGCCTTGCCAGATGGCTACTAAGCAAAGCCTCTCTAGCTTTGGTGGCAATGACCACAAAGAAATCGCTCTTTGCTCTGACCATGCTCTGACCTACTGACCTACACGAAACGGCTCCTCATTGTTGTCTTTTCCCGCCATTCGAAGCCGCCGTCTGCTGTTACTCTTGGCCTGTCCTACGATTCAGTTCAGTCAAACTGCACACGTAGGCCTAACTGTGAAACGTAAACTTCTGGGTAGACAGTGCGACTGGAAGGCCATATTCACGAGACGGTTATTTATAGATCCTTCTCATCGAATCCCTTTCACCTGTCGTACACTTTAAATGGGAGGGTTCTCGAGACTACTTCGGACTGAAAAGAGTGCGTCTCGATTTCAGAAACACTTTGTGCATTTGGGACAAAACGCAGAAGTGCATGATGACCCTTCATCCCTATGAAATTTTTCTGCAAAGGAGAACACGTAAATCTGGGCATTTCCCTATTTTACATAATCTTCGATCCCTATCAAGTCTTCCAAATAGTTTCAGAATCCTTCGGTTTTTGATTCGCCTTGGGAAGAGTGGGAATTTCACTCCTCTCGATTGGATTTTACTATTTTTTTAGAGTCGTTTTTACCCTTTCTAAAGGAAGGCTTCGATCCAGGCGAGGCTCGATTTAGTTGCTTCTGCTTTGGTAGATGCAGCTGTTACGTTTTTTTTTTGTCGTCACATGATTGATAGTAAATGTGTTTTCAATCATTCCGCTTCGCCGATTTAGTGTTCAACAGACAACGTCCATGATGTTGGCCCTTATGCCTAGCATTCAAGTGTTGTCTCATCTTTCACACTAATCCATTAATAATCGTATGCTTCGCTTGTTCGGAGCATGATGGCAGAAAATGTCACAATCAAATTTACAGTAGGTCTTTAATTGAATATTTTTTTCCTGTGTGAAGCATAGGCCTTGTAGGTAAAACCCCAAGTGTTCCACTTTCGCACAGCTGTATTTGAAACTTTCTCTACGACTCAACATTAACAAGAAATCCCTCCAAAAAAGCATGGTGTTGGGCTTTCACTCCGTTGCATAAAAGGGTCCGAGCTGGACCAAGAGAGGGCGTATTTTTCCTAGCAACAGAGGCTCTTTTGGTAGTAACCGCGCATCGCTGGTTGACGAACGACAATAATGAAACGCACGTGTTCCACTTTGCTGCCAATAAAATGAACAAGCCCGACCAACATGGCTCCCTGGGGGGAGCGGGTTAGCGTAGTGGTTCTTTCCTCGCTTTGCACCAATGAGGCCCAGGTTCGAGTCCCGGCTTGGCCCAAGCTTTAAGTGCATTTGGTTTCCAGTCCATACTCACTCTCGCAGGTTTTCTCCGGGTACTCCGGTTTCCTCCTGCCTGTAAAACTGGACCCTCTTCCTAACTCCGTAATGTGATGCTGATTAATTAATAAGGTGTATGGATAAACGTACAGTTATTGGCGCAAATCGCCTGAATTGCTAAAAGTGCCATTAAAACAAAACAACAACATGGCTCTTTCCAACTGATGGAGGGGGGTGCTTCGGCTCGGGCGTACATAGGCTGTCAGTCCGCGCTTAAATTGGATACCACCCAATCGCATCATTCATCACTTTACAGTGTATCAGTCCCTTGACGACGGCTGCAGCTGGTCTACCAGATGGGCAGCGGATTCGTGCGAAATACCATCTCATTTCCCGAAATTCGCCGCTTTGGACTGATGCCGAAATGTGGACGCCAATGTGAATCGGGGGAGGGGGGGAGACGTGATTTGAAAGGTTACTAACAACATTTTCCTGTTACGGCCCAAAGGCGAGCTTCGAAAGCAAAACAACACTCCATGCCCGTGTATGCAGCGTTGCACTTTGCACGATAATTCAAATGAAAAGCTAAACTGGCAGACGGAGGGAAACAGCCTCGACAGATTGAGCCGTAGCCTGTCGGGCTGGTTTGTAAGCCTGTGCGGAGGCTTAATTCACCGAACATACGAGGAATCAACTCATGATCGACAGTGCAAAACGCCAAGTGGGACAAATTACAATTTACATTCTCTTGCGGGCAACATAAACTTTATTTCGGTAAGAGATATTCTTATCCCACTGTGCGGCCAACAAACCCAATTAAGCCGCGCGCGGCCAACACACGCTGTATTGCATAAAAGCCATTCAAGTGATAACAAAAAAGCTCCGCTTTTCTGGCCACCCTTCGACCATACTGCGACTTGCAAGTTGAATGCTATCTGTTAACCAAATTTACACCGCAAATGTACCCGGTCCCGAGAGGGAACTATACGTGCCAGGGTGCAACCAACTACACGTGTGACGATGACCTCTAAATATTCCGGCAAACAGCGATGTAAAACCACGGTATAGGCCTCTGTGGAACTTGTTCGAAACACAAGCCTGGCCGGGGGCACGGGGATATCATGAACCCGCGTGACCCGACAGTTCAACCCACGACCTTGCCTACTTTCTCACGGTCTTCCTACGGTGTGACCTCCCTTTGCACGTAAGCTACCGAGGGTACGTAGCCTCGACCGTACAAGAACGATAACTACTCCATGTGACGTGGCGATGACATGCACGCGTGATGATGTGTTTGGTCAAGATCAAACGGGCATCTTTAAAACTCGTTCACAAACAGTCAGCCCATCCTCTCGCACACGGGCACTAGACAACCTGTCTCCTCAAACATCCTTTCCAGATCACAATCAGCCGAAGTGAAAGGACGAGAATCCCCGAACAAACACAGACGTCACACCAACTGCCACAACACAAAATGCGTGTAGGCCTACATAAATACATGATATACTGTACATGTACATGATATTGCACGTGAAGCTGTTACAGAACTGAGCACACATTTTTCTATGGACTAGCACATGTAAAGGATCCTCCAAAGTCCTCCAACTCACCTGAGCTTTCAAGTTGGCAGCTCCGCTCTGCAAAATCTGTCCAACGATCTCGTCCGTACCGTATAGGTGCGTCTTCGAGCCAGCGGAATCAACTTTCCCTCCAAGGATATATCACGCAGTTGCTCCACGAAATCTCACCTCTCTGGTGATCTGAGGAGGCGCTGGGATGGGATTGCCCCGGCAGTGCGTACACGACCCACAAAAGTGCGCTGTGGGATCGGGCGCACCTAGATAATTGCCGCGCTAGTTTGTAGAAATACACAGACCTTGGGCGGGCATTACGCAGGAGCGAAACCTCGGAGTCCTATCCCCCGCAAACCACCCGCAAGTAATGTAAGGCAAACCTGCGCGCTGGGCCCGCCAGACGATGGGCGCAGTAAAGTGAGCAGCTCGAGAGGGATCGCCGTGTACAATAATAACAGAGGAGACCTGTCCACGTACTGTACATGTACACGTACAGTACACTGATGTACATGTACAATGTACATGTACTGTACACTATGCCGCATCCTCACTGAACGACTAGCGTCGAAGCAACACATGCGCACTCGACAAACAAGGTCAATTCATCAGACACAACAAAACGTGCACAGCCTACAGGCGCAAAAATGATGAATACATCGACGGCCTTGATATGTTTACAACATGTGACCTGGATAGTATTGGATGCGCACATATTATTATCAATCGTGCACAGTTTGATTGAATAATTGTGCTAAAATAGCGCGGAGTAGTATATCGTACATATAAATATGTAAAAGTAGCATAAAACTCAAGTTTTGTTTAGTTGAAAATTGAAGGGAACTGGCATTTGTGAAAATTGGAGCATTATGCTCCCTGGAGATAAATGGAAATCGATAATATATCCAACAGCTCCCAAGGACGGAATCCCTCGGAACATTTATATAAACACTTTCTACATTTTCGCTTTGCAATATCAAAATGGCAAAAAAGAAATCAGAAACCAGATCCCAAAGATCGAAAAACCAACAACCCAGGTCTAAATTTACTAATCCCCCCAAAACAGAAAGGAAAAAAGGAGAAAAAGAAGAGAAAAAGAAAGTAGAAGTAATCTATACTGAAGCCGTGAGTGGGAGCGTTTCATGTAAGAATGCCTAGCCACGACAGATGCATTACAATACAGCAAGAAGTTCTTCAAGCCTTTTTTGCTAGCTGGAACAACCTACAATAGTCTTTTCAAGTTCTGTTCAGTATGCTCCTTGGCATCAAAAGAAATAAACGAAAAGCAAATTTACTCTCTAATACATTGTAATCTCAGGCAAAGAAAGCGCGCACTGCTGGGACCTTGTTTACCTAGTACGAGAACAGCCTGAACAAAGCGCCGGACCGAGGCGAGGCCTGAACGCGCGGATTTCACCCGCCGTGAACTTGAAAGTAACCTGGGGCCTAGGCCGGGGATTTAGCCGGCTTACAGAAGATAAATGGGTGGGCGCTGTCGGGGGCGGGGAGGAGAAGAAAAGGGACCATTCCATTCGATACGAAAAAGGTGTAATAGAGTTTTAGCTCACGGACCCCTGAGCTGTACCATCAGAGGGCGCGATTCTCCTGTAGCAACGGAGGTTCCTTCGGTAGGAACTTCATCTCGCTGGTTCACTAACAACGACGAGGTGCATGTACATGTGTTGCGTGGGCGTCGCTACCAGTTACAAAAAAACGAGCACTTCCAACCAGCTCTTTTCAACCGATGAGGGGGTGCTTCTGCTCAAGGCGGACAGTGTTATCTAGCGAACATTTCAATATGCATTTCTTCTCGGACTGGTATTGTCCAGAATGCCTTAGATTTCGGCACCAAGCTCACCTCGATAAGGAGTGCCAAGGTACTGCTAGCGATGATAGATGCACTGGCCGGGCCGTGAATCGAACCCGGCACCACAGAGGTGGAAGGTGAGGAAAGAACTACCTTGCCAACCTGACTCCCCCAAGAGACAAACAACAGCTGCGAAAAAAAGACAGACTGGCTATTAATCCAACTACTCTTACGTTTGAATTATTTAAGTGTAGGTAACAGTTAAAATTAATTTATTAATTGAAAAAAATCTTTGTTCATTTACCAACTGTCTTCAAGGGGTGAGAAGCACATCATGTGGTAAGAATGAATGTAATTGTTAAATGTTAATGTCATTTTGAAATCATTTGAACTCCAACGTCTGATCGCTAATTGAGCACCACATCTACGGTTCTACTTTCAACGTTATCCTGTTTACCATCTCCCTCGCGATTTTCATCCATACGGGTCGCCACTGACGTCTGCATTCCTCGGCATGAGAACCAGCACGGTGTCCTGATAATCACAGCCAAATCTTCCCTCTAGGTTCCATTTCCATGTTTACGACTCAGATACCGGCGTGGCCGTCTTCGGGTTAATTGGCCGATTTCTCCCGGCTGGGTCCCGCTGCGCGACGCTGCGTCGCTGAAAAAGGCTCGGCACTCGTCTTTCGCCTCCGTTTCATTTGGCCCACTCATACCCAACTAAAGACAATGAACTTGAGCAAGAGACAGAGGAGAGACTACACACGAACCTGACGACGAACTGTGTGAGCGAATTATAGACTCAGCCGGGGAATTCTCCCGCGCCGTTTTTAGATCCTGACATTTAAGGTCGGCCGCCGATGTCTTGGCTCTCTCCCGTTGACGCGTCGTGATGAAATGGACATTCGGTTTACCGTGGCCGCCCTCGTTTGGTTTGCCTGCCGGCCACTGAAAGATACCGATGTTTATAAAAACTATTATGGACTTACAAGGGCAGGCATCGTGCGCTTATTGCAATGCTGGGCATACACATACGAGGCCAATTGTCAGAATTTTTACACTGGGTCTTCGTTGTCCGTTGCATCCGAGAAGTAACCTTATCTCTAGATCGGGAATAATACGAATTTGAGATAAGTACATGCAATACAAATAGAAACATTTTTAATCAAATAATATTATATCGCGGTTCACTGTCTTGCTCCCCGCATGCTCTCTCGTTTTGTCTAGGCCTAGTAAGTCTTTTCTTTTTGACCGGACTATTTCTTTGAACCAAGGTTTATTGGTGCTAACTGACGCGTTTTAAGGGAATAACTGCTGCTATAATCGTGGACTGTCAATTTTTTGCCTTTCGTAGTGAGGGCGCCCCCAAAATGCGTGCGGTGAAAGGCAAATCTGGACGATCTAACAGAGGGCGCTAAATTGCCCGCTTGATCTGAATCATGACGAAAATCTTACATCGCTGTTTGTTTTCATTTGCGGGGGGGGGGGTCTGCGGCTGGGTATAATGTTTGGTTTTGTTTGTTTGTCTGCCTGTCGGGGGTGTTGGGGTGTTTGTTTGTTTGTTTTTTTTGTTTGTTTGTTTGTTGGGGTGTTGGGGTGTTTGTTTGTTTGTTTGTTTGTTTTGGGAGCCTACTGCTGTGTTTCGCTTTCATGAAACGTTAAAAGTTCCGTTTTTGTGCGCATAATGTCAACCGCGGGTTACTGATGTGGATGACTAAGTGAAAAAACCTGCCAAACTTCTGAAGAAAATGAGGTCACCTCATTGACCCCAATTGTGATTAAAGCGTCCGTGTACAAGCGTCCACTTACAAGCATCGGGGGGAAAGTTCCATCTCTCTGCAAACAGTTATATTTTTCAATTGCTCAAACACCGAACACCATATTCAACACTCAATCAATTTTGCGTCTATTACATGTTGCAATTTGAATGTACAGATAACTGAACATTTTGGGCTTTCAATTGCTGCTTCTGACCTCACTGGAGATTGTTCTGACCGGAAGGGGGAAAGTACAGAACAAGCGACAGATGGCAGGATAGCTAATACCGTAAAATAGCGAAGGTTATACTTTCTGTCGATCGAGGGCCTTACTCAAGCACAACCCGCACGTTGTTTGTGTTGAACAGGTCCTCAAGGTCGGCCATGGTTGTATTTTGGCATTCCGCGCATGGTTTTTATACAAACACACTGTTCCCTTTGTGGCGTCTGCCTGAAATGGCGCATGAGCAAACCTTTGCGTTTTGACCTGATCCTTCTAATCGATGAGGTTTATAGGCATTGGCCGAGAGTTCTTGTAGTTGTACGCATCGTCCAGGTCAGCACATCTGTTTCTGCCTCCATGGTCAGCATAAAGGAAAGATGGAGAGATAGAGGACGGAGTAATATTACCTTTTGACTGGATTATTCTGAAATCAACAAGGGACATCATCAGAGATAGCTGTTGTGCATGTACATGGACATGTACATGAACGGGTGACACTCAGTGTGCGGTGGAAGGTCCTCTGGACGACCGAGAGGTCATAAATCCCTCCTGCCCCTCGTGAACATGTGGAGTTCCTACCGAAAGTGTACGGGCTGCACGGGCGTCTGCAATGTCATCCTCGGGTTGACGCTCGTCTTGCTGTGGGCCTCCTGCTACCGCTGGTGCCTGAGCCGGCTGGACGCGAGCAACGACCTGGCAGCGCCGCTCTGGCTTGGAATCCTAGTGAGTGATACTTAGTGATATTCTGCCAAAGCTCGATGCGCGAAGGCAGCACCATCGGCGGCATAGGCCTACTATCTCTTCACAGTAAACTAAAGCGAACTATGGCAAACGCTGAACGGAAATTTTGCCGAATGAAAACGGTTGGTCAGACTTCGGTCAGAGCAGTTTCAGATCATCATTGATACGAAAGATGGAAATTAACCAAATCAGTCTAACCCACTCTTTATTTAATAAATCTGAGCAAATGTATGACATATGGTAGGTACGCAAATTAGCATGTAGCTTTTCATCAGGCGGCTCTGATCATGATAATTATTAATGCCTTTCTGGCAAAGAGCTGAGGATTTCACAAAAGCACCCTAGCCACTGTAGCTCGCAAGCAAGAAACCTGTAGAGAGGAGACAAAGTGGAGTAGTTACAGTTTTAGAAAGTGGGAAGAAAACCCAAGACAAATGTCCTGGTTAAAACCAGCAAAATCAGGAACAAACTGAAAACCTAATTCAGCTGTGGACCGAGCTGGGAATCGAACCTGGACCGTACAGGTGAAAGGTGAGGAAAGGTAAGGAAAGAACCACTGCGCCAACTCGACTCCGCCCCGAATGTTTGGTTTTCCTTCTCGACGGGGAAGCGTCAGACTGGTATAATGTCCGATTTTTGTCTCTTTGTGGTCTCTATGACTCTCCGTCGTTTGAACACGATGAAAGAACGAAAAGTAGAAACATGAGGAAAAGTTGATTTGGTTTCTTGAGCATGATGCTGAATTTGAAAAAAAAAGGTCAAATACACTTTCGAGATATCACTCTGGGCTCGAAAATAGGCCATCCTGTCTCGTGCCACTGAGCACAAGATCTCAGTCGCTTTGGATTTTGTCTATCGTCTGGGCGTGATTACATTGTAAATTGTATGTTTTTTTCCCGAACAATATTTTGCTGTCTCTGTGTTATCACTTATTTCTTCCATAAATACATTGTGTAACAGAGCGTCGTGGTCGGTGCTTTCGGCCTGGTGGCCTCCTGTTTGTACTGGAAACGAAAATATGTAAGTACAAACGTTCACTTTGCATGGTTCCTGGTCCTTTGTGGTCTTTCACGCATCACGGGTTCTTCCATACTCACGCTGCGTACTGTAAATTGAACCCCGTTTTGAGTGACTCGCGAACACCCGGGTTGCCAATTACTAAACTTAAACACCCAAGTGCAGGCAGACTGCAGTTGACAGGTTGCCAATGAGGAATCAAACCACTGAATGAAATGAAGAGATAATGTTGACCTAACAATCAAGATTTAAATCCCGTTACATGGATTGGCCAATATACGCATTCAAAGGCTATGTATGACTTTTTTGAATAATTTATTTGGCCTTATTGCTTCTTCACTAGTGCACTGAATGAGTGCTTTCAACTGAACCCACAAATAAGCAGCGTTTGGCCGCGCCGGGTTGATGCCTAAGTCCGCCATCTTTATTCCTGACATTCCTCATCCTCTTCGCGTGCATGGCACTCATTCAAGGCCTTGTCCCGTTGAAAGAAATGTAAAATCAGCTCGTTTGAGGGTTAAATAACCTGCAAGCCGTCGTGACAGGGGTTTCTCAAACAAAAATTAAAAAAATTGTTCCGTCCTTATCTTTCAGGTTTTCCATTTCTGTTCCATTTTTTTGACGGGCTAGACAATTCTTTTAAATATTCACACCAAAACAAAACTCCAAAAAGCGATATAGTTCTTACACCCGAGTGCAGCCATTAAGAAAAGAATTCGGGTGCGTGATGTGCCACTCCCAGCAAGTGAAAGTGAACACCAAGGCCGTTTTCCAATACTCAACTTCGGCTCCGTCTCAGGCTTCAACTGCTTTTTTTTTACTAGCTGACTTTGAAGCTGTAAGCGCAGTAATCAGTCTAATAGTGCCACAGAACATCAAATAAGATGCAAGAGAGCCAGAAATTACAGTAAACCAATTTAATTTAAACGCTTCAGGCCCACAATCGGGGATTGGTTTTGGGAACGAACCCTGAGACGGAGACGAAGTTGATTATTAGAAAAGGGCCTCAGTATTCGGTCTCCCGTCCTCGTGTTTAAACAGCACAAGTACAAAGCTTCTGATTACAGCCTCATAGAGGTCCAAATTCCACCCAACCTCTCACCGTGTGTTCATCACATGACAGGAGACGCTGCTCTGCACTCTGACGGTACCCGCGGCTCTCTGCAGCGGGGCGGGCCTTGTCCTCTCCGTCCACGCTGCTTTCCGGGAGTACCTGCTATATGAGTCCATGGGGCGCCCTCTGGAGAGCCTCACCGAAGCCCTGCTGGGCGTGGTACTCTTCGGCGTCATGGCCGCCCTTAGCTTCGCCCTGTTCCTGCTGACTGTCACGTGGGGTTGTACCTGCTTCTTCAAGCGAGTGCAGGGAAAGGTGAGTCAAAAAATCTCTTTTTTGTGAAACTCAGATGATATTCTCAAGTTAAATAGGTCGCTTAACCAGATGTGTCCACATATGACAAGTTTTCCATTGCAGTATTGAAAAGAGCTTTATTGCATCGAACTGAAACATCACGTTTCAAAAACAGGAGTAAATCAAATGATGGTCCGACACCGCGTCTTTGTTTCCGTAAGAAAGAAGAGGAAATCTCGCTGTTTTGCCCTGCATCACGGGGCTTTAAGGTGGTGGCTTGGGATGTGAAACTGCTCAAATATCGGTCATTTCATTCAGCAACGCGACAATAATTGAGTTATTAAAACCTGACCTAATCTGGTTTGATCTTTGTTTCTCGCAGAGGCGGACAGACGAAGACTACGATATCGACGACGTGGATGCAATGATCTGGGCCTACCAGACGGCGGTGAGCTCTCCTCAGTCATCCACCGACCCGCGCCGTGTCGGCCCCCGCCGCTTCTACTCCACCAGCTCCAACCTGATCAGCGAGAACGAGTCAGAGGCCCGGCCGGCCGCCTCCGACAACGCATCCAATAACACGACCGGGCGCGGGCCGCGAGAGTCCCCAGGGACCGACCCGGGCAAGGAAGAGGGGGAGGGCGTCGACGCCGCTGCTGCCGCCAGCTCGTCATCCCCCAGGCTCTCCCCGGCCGGTCCGCGATTCGCTTCGGTCACGGCAGCCGAGCTGCGCTGGTGGGAGTATTACACACCGCCCACGGAGAAGAATGGATTCGGTGGTTTCTAGCTGCTTGCCACACTGCAAAAGTCCTCGGTGCGTTGTAACACCATCCTCCCTCCGTTGATTTGAGTAAATCCGCAACTCAGAAACAGAGTTATTGGTGTTTGCTGTATTCCAATTTTATTGCAGTGCAGGAATTTGCTTGTTTTTTATTCGATATTAGAATCACATTTAATGTTATTAGAACTGGAGGACGATTGATAAAATCGTTGCTCCCTGGAACTTGATTTTTCAAGCCAGAGTTGGCCTAATTATTTATTGTTTCAAAAATACGACAATAAATACAATTTTGGGGGTTCTGGTTCATAATCTAGCACCCTCTTCAAGACTACCCTGTTTGAGAGTGTCTTGCATGAAAAACAAGCTTTAACATTAAAATATACCGACAAAATAATAGAAATAAATGTACACATGACTTCATTCAAAATTTAATTAGATAAATAGCATATACGTTAGCCCCTTCACGCGGAACGCGGTGAAATTTGAGTATAACTAAGGTCAACTGAAATATAAACAGTAACTGATGTATTTCACATGTTGTATTTATAGTAGTCTATTGGTTTTAAATATGTAAGTCAAGCACGGTCGTCTAGCATCCTATATGATATGACATGATGTTAGGTCATTTCTATTTGAGGAACGAACGGTGACCATTTTACTGTGCCGTCAATTTGCTCCATTATATAAATGCATACACTAAATGTCTTAAAAAAAGACCTGGAAAATATGAGAACGACATAACTAACCGTGTTCTTTGTTGTTCTTTCATCATCCTTCACTGTTTGAAACCTGTTTCTTGTGTGCAAGTGCCTATAACCTGAGCTTCTTTCTCTGCGCATCTTCATGAAGCATTTTTCCCCCAAGTGCAGTAAATATCGTCGGTTCGGTTGTAGAATGCCATCTTTTGTGGCTCAAGTTCTCTCTCCCGAAGGGTGTTATTCCATACGAGACTCATTTCAGAAGTTTTCCAGTTGACTTGAAATCGACTTAACTCTGAGGCTTAATCTGCAGGTCAGATCTCATGCAAAAGGAATTGATGAACAGTCGCAGTGGAAAGCCTTAAATTTCTTTCCCAGCAGTAGTTTTCTTCAATGGCTTTTGACGACGAGAGACTCGATGGCTGTTGAAAGATTCCATTTCACCCTCGCGTTGTGTAAATATGCATATACATCTGCTATAAATGTCATCCGGCATTGTTAACCAAACAAAGGTCTCGTTTGTAACCTATACGTACTGCGTTACGTAGAAATAGGCCTACTCACCTCACTCATTCACTCGACTTTCAAACGCAGGAATCAGCTATACGTGGGACCCCCATGCCTTGAAATCCTCTAACTTGTCGAGACCATATATGAGATTGTTATTCTTTACTCTGGCAATTCAGATTGCAAAGTTCAAGTCGAACAACAACTTGACACGACGGTCAGAATACAAAAGAGTACCGTGACTAGTGATCTACCCCCGAAATGAGCGCACCACAAGGGTGAAGTGGCACACCACAAGGGTGAAATGGGGGGGGGCTGGGGTACTCGATTTCAGAGCCAAAAAAAGAAAGCTCCACAGAGTTCTTGTTCGACATGTATGTACACAATTGGACAACCATTCTTTTCCCAGCTCGAAAAGGCATACAATTTCTGCCCAGTCTTGACCACGGTTTTCAAGAGTGCAGAGACTATTACACAAAGTAGATGGTGCCGCATTCCACTTAAAGTGACCATGCACAAACTGACCCGTCTTTCGTAAGACATGTACTTTACAACCCCGTTCATCGAGCAATGACCAGACTCGCTCACCACCGACTGCAAGTGGGGTGGGCGGAGAAAAGCTACGTCGGGGGGAGTGCTTTCTTGATACTTACTTTGTTGTACAACTTTCCGATGGGGCGACTTGGGCGCGTTTTATGGAGGGGGGCGTTAGCCTGGCACACCTCTTGTAGCTGGGGGGGGGGCAGACATCAAACCATGGCGGCTGTTAAATGCGTCATCGTTGTGGGATGCAAAGTGCACACCGCGTTCACATTGCTTGCCATTTTCGCCTGTTTACCGATTTCCATAACAAAAAGAGAAAAACTCCCCTCCTGATTAATCCGATCCATTCAGTGAGAGTTCACACAGTTCAACTGCCGATTATGTACATGTACTGCTCGTGGCTTTTCGTACATCGGCGTACACACTCCATTGTTCTGAATAGTCAATAACTAACCGGACGGCTGTTTCGGATTTCAATTTATAAAAGCACCGGGCGTCCGTAGTAAGATGCTACGGTCCTCACATCCAACCGACCCTTACGTCTCTTACTCCGTCCCCGACCGTCCTTCCGACCGTCAGGTAAGAAATAATAAAAATATAAGACTTTAGGCAAGTTATAAGAGAAGTGGTTACTCTTCCTGTTTTTCCATTGTATACGTAGCACATCAAATCACCATTGTTTTACTTTTAAAGCTGTCAACATGTGAAGCTTTCAACACATACAGAATCGGAACTAGAATGAATTTTGAGGGGGTCATAAAGTCAGTAATAAATGTGACTGAGGATTTTGGATTGGGTTTCGTCAGCTCTGAGTGTACGCAAAATCTGTGGGCTCTCTTTGCACTTTTGGGGGTAAAAAGGTAAACATTTCCATCATTGCCCCCTTTATTGAGGGGAGGCACGGCCCGTGCATTTGCTGTCATCCAGAATCCACCTGTAGAGCACGGCACGACTCCACATCTTCATCAAACAGTCGTACACAACAACATCAGTTCGTCCACAATGGGCGGGCTATTCAGAAGCACTCAGTCGCATCCGTTCTACGTAAGTGAACAGAAGTCAAAGCAATATTGGGGTTAACACGGTACACTCCCAAAAATTGCTTTCACATACATTGCATGGCACTTTCCATAGTGGAGAGTAATTTCGGTTAGTGTATGCAAAGAGCTCTTTTTTATCGGCAGATGTTTTCGGCTTCTGGGAGAATTTTTGAAGCTCCAATTTTTACATGAATAGCCTGTAGACGTGGACCGGGACTTTGACGTTGATATATTTGAAAGAACCGGATCTGACAGGTACGAAACAGTGTGTTTCTTTTCATGTCGAATGAGAAATCATTCAAGTTTCATATCGTAGAGGCGACGCCATTTTGTATTACAGTAACAGTGTGTTAGTAACTGTGATGTACACCAATATATAAGATTTGATTGACTACACCTGTGCCAATGTTGGGACATTGGTTTGATTCTGTAACCAAACTTATCTCCGTGTCCTTTGTTGAAATTTTGAAAAATAATTTGCCAAGTGTTTCCTTTGCGACACTTTTTTTAAAAATTTGCAAACACGTTTTGCGTTTGTCTGCTTTACTTTAAATTATGTTAATCCAAATTGCTTGTTTGATGTCACTCGAGTTTTATATTCGAGTTAAGCCTAGAATCTTTCCAGCGAAGGGAACGTTTGTGGAAGATGGGGGCCAGTAATTTTTCCATACAGTGACTTAATAGCCATCAGAAAGCAAAACCATGTCCAGTAAAGTTCAGTTTAGGAGGGAAAATACCAAGTGGTTTACAAAGAAAACATTTAGCATTTTCAGACCAGTCTCATAGGGTATGTGCACAGGTTGTCAAGTGGCGTCCGTATACGGAACTCTCTCCCCAACGGGACCAAACTTGACCCAACCCAATCTAAACTAACCCAATCCAACAAATCCAGCCCAGCCAGACCCAACCAGACACAACCCTACCCAACTCAACCAGCCCAACTCAACCTAACCCAAAACCTCACTCACCACATCCCATCCATTTAACTACCCAACCCCACCCCTTCATATAAAAAAATCGCACAATAGAAACACCAATGTATTGTTCCCGCCATAATGATTTTCTTAACAGCACCGAGTTAAACTTCATCGTCCAAGTCCCAAACAACCCGGCGACACCATGTGCCTTCCGGACAAGTACGGTCGACCGAGTCCCCTATGCCTGATCCCCCTGGCATTGCTGTGCATGATCCTCGGTGGTGGCCTAGTCGGGTCGTGGGTTGCCTGCTACTACAGGTGCGAGGATGGAACCAATGTCGACTACAACTACTACGCCGCCGTGTGGACTGGTGGACTCGTGAGTTTTCACATGAAAGTTTCCTGAAAGACTGATGTTGCTTGTGATTATGTTTGGTGTCAAGGGGAGGGGGGCGAAATTTCAAAGCATCCCCCCCAGTCACCCTGAATCACAAAAGTGCCTGTCGTTAACCAAAAGACTCAGGGTACGTGTAAAATCACATTGAAGTGAAATTAAGCCCTGTTAGGGTTAAAAAAGTTCCTCAGTGCGACATCAGTTATTCCGATTTGCCTCGGTTATGAACGCAATTCAAGGATAGAATCCCCATTTATCATGTTTGATTACAGACAGTATTGGTGAAATCACATTTTTAAGAAGGAAGCTAGATTCTGTACAATTGTTTGGCGTTTTGTCTTCGTAATTATAAACGCCAAGTGAGGGTCTTTGGTTTTGTGCAATAATGCCGCCATCCTGATGAGAATTAACATTTTGTTGGTGGAAATATTTATGTCCATAGTTTTGTTGATGTCCATTGTCGAAGGGGTTTTCTATGCCTGCAATAAAAGTGGTTCTGGTAACTAGTCGCTCGTTACTGGATAGGCCAGCTCTTGGTGAACTCTTCCAATTAGGACTAGATACATGTATTTGTGTAAAGTCACCTTTATTTAACTTAAATCTTGATATTTGTCTCTCCCTACCCCCAAAGGCCGTCTTCAGTGGACTGTTGCAGCTGTTTCTCGCATGCTTCTGGAACAAAATCTTGGTAAGATGAATGATTGAAGTTGTATAGCTGATTATAGCTTTGCAACATTTCACAGCTGGGTTATGCGTGCCTGCGAAGAATGACGCCCTCTGTCGTCACAGATTTGCTATACCAAAGAACCAGCTATAATTTCTTTTTAATGGCAGTTCAGTCAAACAAAATTACTGGTAGTTTTTCTCTAGGGATGGTTTGAAAGGTGAATACATTGACTAAAAATTACAGCAGGTTCCAATTTGTAAAATCTGCTTTTGCATAATCACTCATGTCTAACAAAGGCCCCAGGTTTCATGATATTGAGCAAGATAATTAAACCAAGCAGTATCGAGCAGGAACCGAGAGTTGGGCAATTTTCCAAGCAACTTATTGGCTCCTTTGGTGGTTCGCTGGTTCACAAACGGCTATGAAATCCGCACGTAACAGTCGCGTCGCTGCCAACAAAATTAACACTACCTACCGACATCACACTTTTCTATCGACGAGGGGGTACTTGTACCCAAGACGGATACAATTGAAGCACACGTAAAATAATTCTCACACTTCCTACCCTCAGAAATACTTCCTGGTTGTCTACAACGTCGTCCTCATTCTGTGCTGCCTGCTCAGCGCTGCTCTGTACGGCTACCGCACCTACCTGGAGAACGAGGCCACTCCCCCAGGCGCAGCGTCCCCCTCGGTGGGAGTGATCCTGTCCGCTCTACAGGCCGCGCTGGCGGTGTTTATCCTCATCTTCGTCATGGTGTGGAATTGCATCATAGGTTGCGCCAGCCTGGACGCAGAAACGGTAAGCCCAAAAGATTCACTAAAACGACCCCCGGAATTTCCTGAGGAACGTTCCTCAACCCCCCTCCCCCTCGCCCCGCCCCCTTCCATAAGGCCTGTTTGTTTCATGCAGACCCAGATTGAGGTCAGTTATGCCATTGGCTCACTAACACCAGAGCCCGCCGAATGGATAGAGCAAACCAGGTAATGGGATCCCTGATCGACATCCAGATCTATGTGAAACAAACAGGCCCTCAGAATCAACCCTGTTACGATGCACGAGACTTTTTCTCGTCAGATTGAGGTGGACGTATAGAGGCTGTGCATTAATTTATCCGGTAACACCTTTTGTTGTACAGTAATATACAAGAATATATCTCTCACACAACAAACGCAGTAACCTTAAAGATGGCTACCTGGCACAAGCCTCTACTCACGGACGTATATAAAAAAAACCTGGACTTGCAACGCCTTTGTATGAAAAAGAAGCCAACCAGCGGCCATTTTACCGAGCCGAATACAAAGGCGTGGGTTTAAGTTGGCTCCCTACTATTGACGTCAGGAAGAACAAAGGCGGGCATTACCAGGAAAGCTTTGTATTCGGCTCAGTAAAATGGCTGCGAGTGGATTCAATGACTCTATAAGCTGATTAAGGGCATTGCGAGTCCAGATTTTATTATACACGTCCGTGCCTCTACTGCGCAAAAAACACACACAAAAAAACATTAATTCTGTGATGATTGGAGGCCATAAGATACCTTGGCTTTGCAAATCAAAAGTGAACCACGCCATGTTAGCATTTCATCAAAGCAACATTTCATCAGCATGTTGATTGACACCTTTTGTTAATACATAGTGTGTGCATGAAATACGAATGGAGAGCTTGTTTGACGTCATTCAACTGGTCTAGCATAAGCTAACTTTGGGTAACTAAATTCCTTTTCTGCCCCCCCCCCCGCCTCCACATTTCAGGGAGATTACTACGATGACCGTAGAGCCCGCACAAAATCACGTGATAGGAAGCGACCCCAACAAATCCGTGGGCCGTACGAAGATGATTTCTTCAATCGCGAGCCGGCTATCTACAGTGCTCAGAGCCACTACCAGGAGCGCCCCCAAGAGGTCAGCTACGGCCAGATGGACCGCACCAACACAGGAACCAGTGGATACATCATCCCCAGGGCGTCTGTGCGCGGCGCCCTGCCGGAGAACGGCTACCACAGCAACGGCGGCACCATGGTGGTGGACGGAAGGGAGCAACTCCGGGCTGGCTGGGGGGAACGCGAGGAGCCCCGGAGCTTCTACACTGGCTCCGGCCGCTACGACCAGCGGAGCTCCACCGCCCCCCGCAAAACTGGTCACGCCCTGCAAAACGGCGGCACGTTTCCCAACGGCACCGGCGGGGGCCGGGTTCGAGATCTGGGCTCCCGAGCCGGGGAGTTGACCAGTAACCGGTACGGGCGAGGCGTCAGTCTGATGCAAATGCACGGAGTGGCTTCGACCTCTAACATCACCGAGGGGTACTATTAGCCCCTGTCCCACTATAAACCTCAGTATTTATCTTTGGGGGTTCCATCTTCAATACACAAATGAACCTTAAATTAACCATTCCTGAGATTCATCATACGTCGAACTGATTATAGGCCTACACTGCCTGATGTAAAGAAAGTTAGCAGATGGTCAAGGGTAATTTTTTTAGGGATGTTATTTGCACTTATTTACTTTGGTTTCTTAATTTTTTTTTTGTGTGAAAGACTTGCCGGGAAAAGAGCCCTTTATGCCAACGTCAAAAAATACCGACCACTGTTACAAATACCTGTATCCAAGTCAAACAATTTTAGAATGCGACGGAAGGCCTTCTAAATGGACATCCGTTAATCCTCAGTTTACCGTAGATTAAAATTTGACATCGTAAATGTCCTGGATTGTATTGATTATGTAGTGTGATTTGATTGTACAGTCAGTCTTTGATTAAGGATTCAACTTTTAATTTTTAAATTGCATTTTATTCAAACGTACAAGCTATACAGTACTTTATTTAGTAGTGGAATAACATACTTTCATCTATATTGATATATTGCCATATGCAGAAAACGAAATTCAAGTTTGAAAATTCGATAATGGAAAGTGAAAACCATATATATATACAGAATGAACTGAAAAATCTGGTGAGGTTTAAAATGACATCAGTGAGTTAAAGATTGTTGATTTCGTGCAGCTAATGTTTTTTCTACGCCTTTGGCGAAGCACGAGCCTGTTGGAACTGGCTGCAGCGACATCAATAGTCTAGTAAATAATTTCTAGCCGCAGCCACATGCTTCGGGCACGGTCCAAGCAAAAAATACGGCATTTTGAATTTATGTACGGAGCCGAAAATCAGCTGGGAACCAGTCAACAGATGCATACACACGACATTAAAGTTGGTGACCAGCTTTTCTAAGCAGAAAATCTTCCGTGTTTGGACAAAGATAAAAGAAGCACACAAGGTTATGATGAGAATGACTCCACATACCTTTATTCTTCGAGATAAATTGGCGTACTGAAATAATTCAGAAATAGCTAAAAATGATTATTCCCAGTGTCCTGGAATAACTGTAACTCAACTCATTTCGTTAATTTGTGTATGACTTTATAAGCACTCCAAAGGAGTGGTAACCGAATTCTAAATGTAAACTACTCTTGTGATTTCTATAGCCTGTCTTGGGCAAATTTTTACTCAGTATTTGAAATTGTATGTTATATTTTCCAATCATTATGCTATGTAAACCATTACTCCCGTGTTTTACTCCTTATATTTTCGTATTTATAACTTGTGTTTTTTAATCGTCCACATTATCAGATTTGGATGGAATGCATGTTGTGGAAATGGACACATTGAGGTGTCTTTATATTTGAAAAGGAAAGCCATTTTGCCGTCTGCAATGGATGGGAAAATAACGCGGCTTCTGTGCCGTGTTTGAGTGCGATGTTTCCTGAATAGGCTGTGTACGTGTAGCAATTATTTTATCCTTTTATGCATGGTCAAATGTTTTCGAAGGCCTTGTTAGCCTTGTAAACAAGTAACACTTTCGATGTTTGGTGAGAGAAAAAGTGCTTCTGGTTGTGTTTTGCCTGTCGCTGAAATTATCTCGGTTATTTATTTTGGCTTGTTGGAATACACGTAGCCTACACACGCAAAAATAAGTGGGATGTTACATCATTAGCGATGTTGACTTGGCGAACACTTTGGTTTCGACATAATCCTGATTACTTCAGCAATGTATTCGCAAATTTTGTGTATAGATATGAAAGGAAAGGAAAACTGAGGAAAGGAAGGTTAAAATGTTGTCATTGTTTAACATAACAGAAGACCAACAATGCATTTGTTTATAGATATTATTTGTGTGTCTGTATGGTATTTTTTAAAATGGTATTTTTATAGAATAAAGTTAAGTACTCGAAGATATGATCACGTATGGATCTGAGAAGGCTTTTATTGCGAGATTTCAATCAATACGTGCGGGATTTTTATTCCAAACCTTAGAACATCGGTAACATAGAATGTATGTACGAACTTCCGTTGTGGCATTTAGTCCCACGTAATTTATTGCAGCGCTGACTGAACTGAACGCTGGCAATCTGTATTGTCAAAGCTGAGAATACACTCTCGATTGAAGAGCTTTGAAAAGTACAATCGAGGGGTCTTGTCCCTGCTCGCTTTCCGGTCGTTGCGCCCTGGGCCGCAAATTGTCACGAATACCAACAAGAAATTTACATTTTTGTCGAGGGGAATGAGGCGTCTCGGCTGATAACTGTGGGGAGACGCTCGTTCAACAAGCAACTGAAGCAAGATATGGGACGGAGAGAACCCCCGCCTTTGTACAGACTTCTGGGGGGGGGTGTTAGGTAAGTCTACAGTGTGTATAGGGATTGGACAGGTAAAGGGGGCACCCTTCCGTCCCATATCTTGCCTGGTATAAAAAGGGTTTAAAGCGAAGAGGGCCAATTCTTGACAGCCCGAGAGGAAAATTTGTGGCCAAAATGGGGACTCACGCAGCACGTTTATGAGAGAGCGCGTCCTCGAAAGCGGTCGACGGTGACACCGTGCGTGGCTCCTAGAAAGGTGCTGAGTGATTGCATTGTTTGCACTTCAGTCCCAATCAATCCGGTTGCATGTCAGGATATGAAACGCTTTAACACGGGTAGCTTCGCCGTGGTTCAAAATGAGCCTTTTGCGAGTTAAATTTGAAAAAATAAAACTGGTACACTGAGTTCTTTAACTTCAAATGAACAAAACAGTTTGGAATTCTCCATACTAAAGACACTACTTGCTATACCTCGTGACCCAGGGCAAGCTATTGCTTAATACGAGACGTCTTGTACCAATACACTGTTTTCAATGGATAAAAAGGGCACAGAGGCACCAGTCCATTCCAGAGACTATGCAAAACCTTGCCCCAAATCACGAGGTATAGCAACAGTATCTTTTATAGTCTGGGGAATTCCAATTGTTTCGTTTATGTGCAATAAGATAACTCTGTGTACCAGATTTTATTCAAATTTAACTCACAAAAGGCTCATTCAATGAGTTCCTTCGACGTTGGCGTTGGATGTGTCCAGCCATGTAGCTTATGATACCTCTCCTTTGCGCTGTTTTACTTTCCAAATGACACACAAAAGCCCCCGCCAGAGTTAAAAAGAGCACAAGGTGACTTTACAAAACAGCTGGAGTTCATTTTTTGTTTTCTGTACAATTTTCAGTTTCGCATTCATGGGTGTGCCCTCTCCCAGCTCAAGCGAGAGATTTCTCAGAGGGTAATGGGGGACTTGTTAGAGATTGATTCAGGTGCAGGATTAAACAACAATGAGTCATTTACCATCTGCGTTGCCTCGTTTAAATGGAACATTCGGTCTTTCAACGCACGGAACTATATAGTTGCCGCAAGCTGCACTTCATAAAGGATTATTCAAATTGGTACATGATATTTTGATGCATTTTAACACTTGTTTTAATGCTTCTTGTGAAAATTGCGTGCAATTTCATGTCTTTCGGTGTTCATCGTCATTATTACGTCATAATCTATCGGTCNGTGGGGGTGTTAGGTAAGAATAGTCTAGAGTGTGTATAGGGATTGGACAGGTAAAGGGGGCACCCCTCCGTCCCATATCTTGCCTGGTATAAAAAGGGTTTAAAGCGAAGACGGCCAATTCTTGACAGCCCGAGAGGGAAATTTGTGGCCAAAATGGGGACTCACGTAGCACGTTTATGAGACAGCGCGTTCTCGAAAGCGGTCGACGGTGACACCGTGCGTGGCTCCTAGAAAGGTGCTGAGTGATTGCATTGTTTGCACTTCAGTCCCAATCAATCTGGTTGCATGTCAGGATGTGAAACGCTTACACGGGTAGCTTCGCCGTGGTTCAAAATGAGCCTTTTGCGAGTTAAATTTGAAAAAATAAAACTGGTACACTGAGTTCTTTAACTTCAAATGAACAAAACAGTTTGGAATTCTCCATACTAAAGACACTACTTGCTATACCTCGTGACCCGGGGCAAGCTATTGCTTAATACGAGACGCCTTGTACCAATACACTGTTTTCGACGAATAAAAAGGGCACAGAGGAACCAGTCCATTCCAGAGACTGTGGTCGCTATGCAAAACCTTGCCCCGAATCACGAGGTATAGCAACAGTATCTTTTATAGTCTGGGGAATTCCAATTGTTTCGTTTATGTGCAATAAGATAACTCTGTGTACCAGATTTTATTCAAAGCTCTGAGCTCTTTCGACGATGACGTTCGATGTGTCCAGCCATGTAGCTTATGATACCTCTTCTTTGCGCGGTTTTACTTTCCAAATGACACACAAAAGTCCTCGCCAGAGTTAAAAAGAGCACAAGGTGACTTCACAAAACAGCTGGAGTTCATTTTTTTGTTTTCTGTACAATTTTCAGTTTCGCATTCATGGGTGTGCCCTCTCCCAGCTCAAGCGAGAGATTTCTCAGAGGGTAATGGGGGACTTGTTAGAGATTGATTCAGGTGCAGGATTAAACAACAATGAGTCATTACCATCTGCGTTGCCTCGTTTAAATGGAACATTCGGTCTTTCAACGCACGGAACTATATAGTTACCGCAAGCTGCACTTCATAAAGGATCAGTCAACTTGGTATATGATATTTTGATGCATTTTAACACTTGTTTTAATGCTTCTTGTGAAAATTGCGTGCAATTTCATGTCTTTCGGTGTTCATCGTCATTATTACGTCATAATCTATCGGTTAATGGTTTTTCCCTTTTCTTTTACTTTACTGCTGCTCTCAAATGCCCTAGAATGTTTTCTCACGGCAGGTCATCAATCTTTCGGTCTAACGAACACTAAACCAAATCCCTTTGATAAGTGTCTCAGAAGACAGTACGTGACATAATTCGATTTCCAGAAAAGAAAGGGAGCTCCTTATTACATTTTCAAGATTTGTTTTAGACTCACTGTTACTTGGGAACGATACCGTTGTCTTGGACAACGCGGTAATGATTTAACAGAGCCCAAATAGAATAGTGCCGAGTACGTGGTTTCTGTGCTCTTGAGTTGTTTGAAGTAGAGCAATCCAGGTGGGGTTTTGACATTTTCACAATAACATTACACCTCAATGATATGACAGATTGTGGTATATTAATCATCCCAGCGCGTACTGAACTACGTGCGCCAAGAAGTACATTTTGTTGTTTTTATTGCAGTTAGTGCGAACAACAAAGTGATCCCTTGGCAAAAGTCACGCATTAGACAATCTGCAATCATCGAAATATTTGCCTCTCTTATCGTGTGGGCAATGGTGTGTACACGTGCTATGCATTACGGGATGGTTTCAGCGTATAAAATCAACTGAAAACGAAATGGGAGATATTGCCAGAGAGTAGTCTAGGGCACCGTAACTGGGAACTATGGAGTCGGGCTGGCGTAGTGGGTTTTTGTTTCTCGCCTTCCACCTTTGTGGTCTGGGTTCGAATCTCGAATCTACATGCGCATTGGGTTTTCAGTCCCTACCTGATTCCATGGGTTTTACCCAGAATATTCCCCTGAGGTTTTCCTCCCACCTCTACAACTGTAACTGCTTCTCACTGTCTCATCTCTACAGGTTTCTTCAGGCTTGCGAGCTACAGTGCCTTGGGCGTTTTTGAGGAATCCTCGGTGTCATTACCAAAATAATTGCTTTGGAGTGGAAAAACGAGGCGTACACACTATACTACGAGGAGAGTGGCCGATTCGTGAGCACAAGCTTCGCTTGATGTATTGGCTTATCGGAAGGTCTTCAACTATGAGTCTGTCCAAAGTGCAGTGAAATGTTAAAAAAAAATTAAAAGGGCGCTATGTGCACTCCTTTTAAATCGTTTTAAAACCAAGCTTCAGGTTACTACGGCAAAGACGATTAAGCCCGGGTGTTTTGATGAAGATGTAGTGTGCACGCTCATAGCCCTGGTTTGATAGAATGTTTGTTTCTGTTTGCGAAAAACGTTGAGAAACAACTTACCTTGTCTAATTAAGTGTAACTATAATCCCAATTTTTAGCACTTTAATTGGTTGCGTTTCTTGAGTGTCTGTACCTTGGCTGTTTATGTCTGGGTAGTTCCAGAAATTAGGGGTTCAAAAGTCCGACATTTTTGTGTCCTTGTTACATATGACTCTTGTTATTCGACGTGGAGATATCACCGGCATTGATTTCAAACTATTGCTATTTGTTTGACAGATAATTTGCATTCATTCACCACTCTTAATAATTAGAAAATGTGTTCTGAACTTACAGAATAATATGTCCGATGTGACAGGGACACACACCGAAAATGGACCCCTAGATTCTGGAATTACCTGTCCACAAACAGCTCTGCTCTGCACACATAATTGGCAAGTAATTAACCTGTCAATTAATATTGGAGGCACAGCATGTTATTAAGTGGATAAGCCACGAATCCACGATGGCAAAAGAAATATGGTCTGCCGTCTTTGGACGTCAGAGTTTATCTCCCCTCTTTTGAGGGAAAGGTGCACCATAGTTGTGCGGCTAGACGAAATCAGAGGAGAGAAACCCAAGTGAAAAGCAAGCGGGCCCTTCCCTGTTGACTATCTTAGGAGGTCACGACTTCGTGTTGTAGTCAAACCACGACATCGCGCGGTTGCCAGGTTCTAGGATCGTCAGCAGCCGCTCTAGCTCCACGTCAGCTGTCATCCCCACGCCCCCGACGACATCCACCTTAAATAGATGGCGTGCGCGTTCTCCGGCTAATTTCTGCACGGCCACTCGCAGCGGATCGGAGAAGACGCTAATTATTCCTGCCCGGCAAGTCTGTTTTAACTTCCCGAACTTCCCGGTTACGACAACCGGGGAATTAAGTGCTGACGTTTTGCCTCTGTGGTTCCTGTCGGATCGGTTTAAGCAGCGCGTCATCCGGTTTCATTGTTTTGATGCTGTCGAAACAAATGCA